CATTTTTTAGGTCCAAAAGTAGGTAGTCCTTATACAGGGTGTCCAAAATGTGATGGGATAGTATTGCTATCTCGGTAACGGTTATAGTTGGAATAGGGCATCAAGAGTTCAAAAGTTGCGTAATTACATGCCTTTTAATATGGCATAGAAGATTGCAAAAAAAATCAGCGGTTCTCAAAATATTTAAAAAAATATAAAAATCGGTTAAAACTTATTATCGCTATAACGTTTTTATTTCTAGGAATTTTATAATACTGAAAGGTTTACTAAAACATATAAAATTACATACATTTTGATCCAATTTGTGTATTTTTACGCCAACTAGATTTTGAGATACGGCTACTATCTTTTGTTTCTCATATGTCCGCCATATGTGGCCATATCTCAGAATCTAGTAAGAGTAAAAATACACAAAAAGGATCAAAACGTATGTAATTGTGTATGTTTTTATGTAAACCTTTCAGTTTTTCAAAATTTTTATAAATAAAAAAATAATAGCTATAATAAGTTTTAACCAATTTTCAGTTTTTTTCAAATATTTTGAGAACCGCTGATTTTGTGTGCAATCTTCAGATGCCATAATAAAAGGCATGTAATTACGCAACTTTTGAACCCTTGATGCCCTATTCCATCTGTAACCGTTTCCGAGATAGCAATGCTATCCCATCACATTTTGGACACCCTGTATAGATAAGAGTAACATACTAAAATTTAAAATTTCCAGAATATGTTATAACAAAAATAACACGTTTTAAATGTAAATCTTATGTTGCTAATTTCTTACAAACCCTGTAAAGAACCTGAAAAATAAGCAGTCGGTTATGATCAGCTTGCAAAGACCTTTTTATTGACCTTTTGACGCCATTTTAATTTTTTTTTACTTCAAAAATAAAAAGAAATGCCCTTTAAAACAAAAAGATATAAAAAAAAAGAAAAAAAATTTTTGTTTGCCTTCTTTTTTTGTATGAAATTGATTTAAAATACTTTTAAACATAACATAATATTATGTTTTATTATAAATTATAATAAAACATAATATTATGCTATGTTTAAAAGTATTTATAATTATTATTATAATTTATAATATATTACCTTATTTTTGGAATAAAACAAATTATTAAAATTTAGTCCAGGAAACAAAGATTGTAGTCGGGTTTTATTTTTTTTATGTAGAGTCAGGGGTGCTGATAATGAATCAAGAATATTCCCCAAAAATTTCCTTCCGCGTCCCCTAATTTCATCCCTCGAAAGGGGAGTTGTTTGCTTTTTAGCTCATAACTCGCTAACCGTGCATTTTTTCAGAATTTGACCTCTAATACTTTTGATTATGTACTAAATAAGACACACGTTAAACCCCATTGCGCACCTATATGATGTGCCCTTTTGCTATGCTCAGTGTGCAAAGTTGAGCGTTGCTTTCAAAATCACTTTTTTGTTTTTTTTTATTATAGCCTAATTTTAAAAGTAATCGATCCCAAACCTTACGGTAATCAAACATAACCGAATGGACGATTTTTTGAGGTACTAGACTTTTTTCAAAAGTTACTGCTTTTAATGTACAGGGGGTTTTACTAAATATAAAAAATAACATTCTCTCTGTGTATTTTTGTCGATGATATAAATAATTGCTTTGAGCTTGGTTAATTTCTTTTCTTGGATCTTAGTATACTAAGGCCTTATAAGGCCTTTGCACACAATCTGCTAAGTACTTGCTACTTAACAGATTAACACTCATGAGTGTAAAGCCTATTTAACAAATATATCTCAACATGTCTTCAAAAATAAGTTGTCCTCAAATTTACCTTTTACTCATGGTACACCGCAGGGTTCCATTTGGGGACCCTTTCTATTTCTTATATTTATAAATAATTTGCCAAATAATCTATTTAATACAGATAATATAACTTTATTTGCTGATGACACATAATTAAGTTTAAACGAGGAAAAAACAGTAAATATAGTTTTTTCTTTAAGAGATCTCAGTTGACTGACTGATGCCTCCAATACTAAATTTTTTGGAGTTAATTTAGACTCGCATTTTCTTTGGTTTAGTCAAGACGTATTTTATCTAAGAAACTATCAAACAAATATCTTTAATATAATCTAAACTAAGGTATTTAACCTTTACACCGTGTCCATTAGACTAGGTATATATATTTCGAAAACTATAGTTTCCCAAGCAACAATTTAAGTATTTGTTACGTATATGGGACTATTGAAGAAACTTTAAAGTGTTTTGCGACAGTCGCCGGTCTCTTTATATTACTCTTTTATTACTAAGTTACGACTAAAGTGGGGAACAATTATTGAGTTCCAAAAAGGTAGCAAATATGTAACTAGCTATAAACCCTGCTACTATTTGGAACGTAGCTGCTACGTTACTTGAACGTTCCAGTATCGTTGCTAGAGCGTTATAATTACTTTTATTTATTTGTTTTTACTTCTATATTAACTGTCTTTGTCAAACTTATATTAGATTATACTATCCCTCCTTTTTTAAATGGAACCACTACGGACTTGGCTTTTCAATGTCGTCGTTTATTAATACTGGTAGTTTATAACTTCCAGAATAACAATATAATGTTTAATTAGGCAGGTAAATTTATAAACCCTTTAAATTTTACTGTTGAACTTATGAATTTAGTTTTTGTAAAATAAATGCGCTTCATCAATATTTAAGTATAAACAAATTATTTATTTAATAATGTTTATAAATAAAAAAAATTTAATATTTATTATTAATTTTTTGATTTCATTATTAATACCGTCTATTGCCAACAAAATTACTATTTATTAAAAAGTAAACAACCATTTACAAACAATTAAAATAATTTATTATTTACATTACCACGTGGTACTGTACAGTAAAAAATGGCCGATAAGAAGCATTTTCCTTTGAAGTAGTTTTCGCTACTTTAAAGTTTTTTCCACTTTACGGTTGTTTTGGTTAGTACCATAAACGTTCCAAATACTAAAATAATAACTTTTAAGTTATTAACTTTGTAGTTTTTAACTCATGTTCCAGTTTCGAGATTTTAACTTGGAAAGGGACTACAAAGTAAAAATAATTATAATGTAATCTTAAGGTAGCAACCGAAAGTAACTGCTACAAATTAAATTTACTTAAAAGTTTTTTTTACTTATAACACCTTTTTTAAAGTTGCAAAGTCTTCTTGGGGGCAACCAAGTTTTACTTAAATGTTTATTACTTTATAGTAACCATTTAAGGAAAAATTAAGTTACTGTTACAAAATATTGCTATTTAAAACTTAAAATTACTTTTAAGTAAAAATTAAAGTAGCTGTTTAGTATACTTAACTAATTTAAGTTATCACCACTTTGGCAATGGTTTTTGGAACCAAAAATGCTGCTTGGGTTTCGAAATATTCACAAAAATAACACATTTTAAATGGGACACCCTGTATATTTTTACTTATTTTGAAAGACAATTTAATTTGGAAAAGAAATTATATCGCACATCTTAAAACTTTCTGATGGTTTTTGAAATAACCAAGTTATTACTTTATTTTCACAACAATCAGAAAGTTCTGAATATTTTATTGGATAGAAGTTCCGAATATTTTGAATATTTGTAGCCTGTCAATATAATATATTATATAGTAAGCGCTTGTGCTTGAGCAGCGGTGAGAAGTATCGGTACTACCTATATTTATTAATAAGTTTATTAATTAAATACAAAATTAAGAAATTAGGTTTATTATTATAATAAATATATTTATTTTTCAAAATAATTAATAAAATTTAAAAAAACTTTACATCCAAGTTTTTGACATTATAATGCTGGTCCAACTGTTTTTAAATATCTAGAATAAGAAGAATCTAAGAATAAGAAACAATATTTTTTAACTTTTGCCTTTGGATAGGAAGTTATATACACACAGAAAAATAAAATTTCATTTCAAGCACAATTATTGTTTTAGAAATGTTTATACTTACTGCTTTTAATGTTATTAATAAGAAATTTCTTTAAGTTATTTTTTTTAACTGGAGCATAACGGTTTCATTTGAAATAATTTTTAACAACTTAACATAAGGATAAGAATATGTTCAAATGAAAAGGAAACTTATTCTTGAACTGAGTCAACGATATTTTCGCGCGAAAATGTTGAAAGACAAAATGTATTTGTTCAGATAGAATATAATTTTTACTTTAAATAGTTTTTTGGTTACTTTAAAATTTCTCAATTTTTAATCAAAAAAATATATTTGATTCAAGAGTATGTTTGTTTTGACTATTTCACTCGTCTTAATTTCCACCAATCACAAACAATTTTGAATTACAAATGGTTTCTAGGTGGAAAAACTGTATGACAGCACCTGTCAGCAGTTTTTTCGAGTTTACCCGCGGCAAAACTTGACAGCTGTCACCAAAAATTGCAATTTATATTTTAATTGTTAACTGTTACTCATGAAATAGTCTTGTCAAATACCATTCGGGATCAAATTTTTCCTGTGAAAAAAATCGAAAAAACACAATGCTAAGTAATATTTTTTAACAAAATGCATTCATGCAGGTGCAAAAATCCTCCTCTTCGACTCGGATTTTTGTTAAAATATTACTTAGCAACGTGTTTTTTCGAGTCTTTTCGGAAAAATTAAATGCCCTTATGATATTACTTACGAATAAACCCACGCATGCGCTAAGGTACCATGCCCTTCGTCTTGACTCTTCTTTACATGGCGGTATACCATATATATATACCGGTACAAGTTCGCGATTCAATAATTAATTAATTATTAATGGTGGTGAAATTGTGGTCTATTTTGTTGTCGTTTGTTTAATTGGAGATAACTTAAATTGGGTCTTCATTCAGTGTTAGGTTACTAAGAAAGTGTTTCTACAAATTTATTTTGCAGGTTTTGCACTGCACCAAAAATTAAATTTAATAATACCCCAAACTATCATCCCAATGCATATTGCTGATTCAGGAATTCAAGAAATTTTTTGGAGAAAAAAGATTAAAAAAAACAAAAATATTCATTAATTCATTTATTATTGAGATCTTATATACTAATTGTTTAACGCTCATATTTTCAATCATATACATATTAAGTCATATAAAAATTACAAAAACAATAATTTAGCTGCTTAAACCTCTACACTGTCAACAAGTAATTGCACTTTCTTAAGGCAGTCGTTTTTCATCATAAAAAAACACTTACAAACTAACAAAATACTTTTGAACACATCTGTGTGATTTTCAATAAATTTAAACATTCTTAGTACTATATATAAGGCTTCTAATATCACATGTAAATCAGTAAACTATTCTAACCTCACATCGCCGTCTCCAGGGGCTGCGACTTGCTCCTGCTGTTGTCTTTGAGAGGGTGGTTGAATTGAGGGCTGCCCCCTGGCGGCGTGTAGTCGAAATTGGTTTCTAGTAGCGCCTCGCTTTTCGAGCGGGCTTTGGGCGTGGGTTTCAAGTCGTCAAAATTTGTTTCTATGAACTCAGAATGCGGTCTGTGTTCCTCGTAAGGCGCCAAACCCACTGTGTTGTAATCTGGGGCGAAGTCGGTGGGGTAAGTTGGCAGTTTGTTCGTTAACTCTTGCATTAAGTCCACCGGAGGTCGTTCTCGGTAGTACGAAGGATCGTAACCTCTGCCGAAATTGGTCTCTTCCATCGTGGATGATGATTTATTTAGAGGTAAGGTATCGGCGGTGTAATATTCACTTGGGGGGTAAGACATACCCCCGTTGGGGGAGTTGATGATGGGGGTTTTGTCTGTATCTTGCACACTTTCGGAGCGCGACTGGAAGTTCGAATTGGTCGCGCTATTGAACGTTGAGTTGTCCTTAAAACCCGGATTCTTGTATGCCACGTCGAACTGATGGGGTTTAGCGTATTGATTCTCGAACCTCTGCGGGGATTTGTGGTATTCTATGGTGGGGTTGTAAGCAAAACTCGATGGGTTAGGGTTCGATTGCTCGTAGGTGTCGTAGGAGTGGTTATCTTCTATGGAGGAGTTGTATACTGACTTCTCCATGCTGTCGAAGGAACCATTTATCTTCTTGTACTCTTTCGTTAAAGTGTCTGTGGATCTGGAACCCTATAACGTAAAAAAATATTATTTATTGCGTCCTAAACAATCCAAAAATGTCACAAAAGAATCTTAAAACTTTTACTTACGAGTTGGGCAGCTTTCCGTCTAAAACTGGCGTCTGAATAAGTGGCTGGAGACAACCCTACAGACCTTAAAGAATGTAGACTTTGCCGGATACTGTTCCTCCTCTCTAATCTTTGGGCTTTCCGGAACTTACTCTTGGCATACCAACAGCCAATAACCAATATTATTAATATTATCGCCAACGAAGCACTCCCTATTACTGATATCAAAACCACATCGTCGGCTCTGGGTAGTATCTGGATTTTCACTTTTGGATCTAGAAGAATCAAATTGAGAAATTTTAACATTATGTGTAGTTAGACTAATATTAGAAATATTCCCCAACACAAGAAAACACTGCTAAGTGCTTAAAGTACTTTTCGACAACGATGTTGACCTCTTCAGAAGCCTAAAGTTTGTTGCTGCTTGAACTAAAAGCAATTTTGATGTCCAGTTTTCGAAAAATTCCTTCACCAAAGTTGTCCTTTTTCAAGTATTAGGTAGCTTACCTATTTCACAAATAAAAGGATGTTTTTCTCCACAATCGTTTATTTCTACTGTTTGGTAAGCAAAAATCGTGCACTCGCTGATTCTATCGATGTGTTGGACCCAAACTCTATCCGAATACAAATGCCATTGATTTTGCTTTCTTAGGAACTCGTATAGCCAATTATAGTTCGTATTTCCGATTAAGTACGGTATTGAAGCGTTATCAGCCTAAAATATATACATTTAACAATAACTCGCACAAAAAAATGTAAAACATCTTACTTGACAAAAAGATTTTGCTTCTGGAAAACTCATAGGGGCCCCAACGAACATATAGCAAGTTTCACCAACCAAAGCCCACCCAGGCGGACATTTTCCGTCCAATATAGTATTATTATTCATATGGAAAGGTTGGTATATAACCTCTAGTAACTTCCGGTCATCACTTTGGTCCCTGATACGCCCTCTAACGGCCAGAGTTGTATTTACACCCCAGTAGTTGTTGGCAGCGTCGATTTTGGTGTTCCACAATTGCAGAGTACTATAGAAACATAATTATAATTTTTCGTAGCATAATTAACAAGAAATAGGTTAAGGTATAGGCCCTCTATACAGGTTATAGTTAGAAGCATAGATATAAAAACAAGATGGGTGCCTTAACATATAAAAACAGTTAAAACTTCACCGGACATAACAATTAGAGGTGCATTTTAAAACTAAGCACAACACCTTTCTTATAAATAGTCTTACCTGTTAAACTCAAATCTGCATTCCATGCAACAAAAATAATACAAGATTTAGTTTTTTATATCCTTGTTATCTTAATCTACATATTATAACCCCTCCATTGTAAAAGAAGCGTTAGGTACTTTTATTATTGTTTTTATATAAAAATGTCGCAAGCGATCGTTTCTGAAGAGTAAGGAAGAAATAAAAGCCTATATAAGTAACAAGAAATCGGTCACAGAATAGTTAAGATTGTTTTGGGTCAGTCCAATGTCCCCCAAAAAGAAAAATGTTTTCCCTCCTTATCCCGCATTCCACTAGCCTAAATAGGGCGTATAGCCCGGCCCGGCGACAAAATTTCGGGAGGGGCCTTAACCACGACCTGCTAAAAGAGATTTTTCATCCAAGGTAAATATTTGGATACACCAAACAGAGGTAAGTTGGTAAAAAAACCCTGGAAACCATACATTCTCATACTCATACTCAATGTCTTTATATTAGTGTTGCAAGAGACTTCTGCTTCTGCTTCCGCAACTGCGGAAGTTCTGCACACTTTTTCATATTCGGTTTTGCATCCGGTTGCCTTTATTTAATTTAAAAGTATACTTCCGCATCCGCATACTCTTCCGTTTTGCTTCCGCAAACAGTTGCTATGAAAACTGTCTAACCGCCAATGGACGGTCTAACTATAAAAGCGAGTTCGATTCTTTTACAACTGAGGGTGTAGTTTAATAATATAAACATATACTTACAGTGTTCTGTTTACGGTAATCATTTCGTAGTCATTGTCAGGATTGAAGAAAATATTGTCCACGTAGTGTTGACCTGCAGTACCTGCTACTATAGTTGATCTGCTGTCTCTATGGACTGCGTAATTACTGAAAAAAACATTGTCTTTATCATCGACATTTTTATAGGAAGTTACCTACTTATAAAAACCATTATGCGTTGTTGTTTGATAGATATTCAATCTCACTTTATCAAAACCTGAGACCTCCAAATTTTGCTGACCAATGTTCCTCTTCACGTAGTTATAAGTAAAATTTGACACAACCTGTCTCAAAACAATGTTGTTATGGTATTGGGCCTGATTTCTCGTGAAATAGTTCCTGTAAATGGTCACCTCTTGGTAAGGTGATGACTGTCTTCCTTCTACAATTAATGTTGGAAGATTTGAATTGTTCACAAAGAGATTATTGTGTATCCATCCTTGTAGGGATGTTGCTGAACCTCTGGAGTCAGCTTTGATATACAAACCACCCTGGTTTCCGTCCACAAGATTATTCTATAAAAAAATATAATGCAGTTACAAGTACGAGAATATTTTGATTTAGCTTACCCTGAAGAATATGGTTTGTGTGTTCTGCACGTCCATGTACAAAGCGGATTTACATGTGGTAAAATTTCCATACAACTGCTTGCAGTTGTTTTTAAACTGATTTTTCTCTATGGTTACTATAGGGTTAACTTCTCCAGCTGAGTTGTACAATAAGGCACCTTGTTTGTTATTATTTATAGTTGAGCTTGATATGTTATGTTGTACATCACGATCTAAAACAACCATTATAAGTACTTATTTTTGCATCATAAAAATACTTACTGAATCCTATAGCTGATATGGGTAGAGTCACAATTTCAGCGATGAAACCATGATCGGAAGAAGCACCATTGGCGAAAAGTTTAACACTCAAACTTGGTAGTTTAGTCTTAAATAACTTCTTCTCATTTCCTGACGTTGTGGAAATTCTATCGATAACTTTGGAAGATATGTTGTATATATCGCCATCGAACAAACTGATGAAGTCTGGTATGCCGTACTGACTCGAAGAGTTGAATAGGTTGAATTGTAGCAATCGGAAACCTAGAGGTTTTATATCGTAGGCACTCCTGAAGATTTTGATGCAGTTAACAGGATGATTGTCGTATTTGTAGTAGAGTAGGATTCGTTCATCAATACGTATTTCTTTGTGCGTATCACATATATCAACCAAACTGAACAGATTGTAGGGCATATTTAATCCTTTAAGCGGTGCGAAACTTGATTCATCGGACTCTCTTCCTTCACCTGATAGGGAGATCACATTGATGCCTATCCCCATAGAGTCTTTAACCTCATTATGCAACAAATTCATTGTGCTTGAAGGGGATATCAAATCCATGCCGTGAAAAGCAGAGTCCTGGATTTTGCAGTATTGTATCTTAGGACTTTTGATTATACTTTGCACAGCTGACGATTTTTCGTTGTGTAATATCCCGGCACCAATAATATGCACGAACTCCATCACTGACTCTTCAGTTTGCTTGGTGGTGTGAGTATAAGCATCATGGATTCTATGCGAGTATAACTCTTGCTCAAACTCGGCGTCAGCGAATCTAAGACCGCCCCAGTATTGGTTTTTGACTTGTTTAGGTTTACCATCGCAAGCTATGAAAATGAACTTGGAATCCCATGTGCATCGGTGTCTATGGCCGAATTGCTGTCCATTTAGTCTTATAGGGCAATCTTCATACTTCTTCTCTGTACCCATGCATTGTAACGGCTCTGGCCACGTCCAAATTCTCGACAGTAAGTTGCTGTGGAAATCGATTCTAACGCCGTGTTCGAAGTATGCGTTTAGAGGATCGAACCCTAACTCTCTGCAGACAACCTGTGCGTTTCTCTCTGTGAATCTCGAATCGCACATCGGTATCCATTGCAATGTGGTTCTATTGAAGTACTCCAAAAACCCTTCGTTGGGTAAAGCACCTTCAACTTCACAACCTTTACTTTGACATAACCTTATGCTTTCTTGCCCAGTGAACATCTCCATAGATCGTTTATTTCTAACTCCGTATACATCGTTTGATTCTAGATTTCCCGATTTTGATATAGGTCTCATAACAATCTCACTGCCTCTATAACCTTTCGCTATGAGGCTGCCCAAAACCAGTATCCCTACATTGGCATCAAACTCCATGACTACGCCAGGGTATATGGTAAAAATGGTGTTGGGCATTATGGTTATATCCGAACGTATTATATAAGGTGAACCCTTGTTTCTCAGCTCTATGTTTTCACTGATGCGTCCACCAAGATTGTTCAAGTCAATGGTGGTATTCTTCTTGTAAGTCAAAGACAAACTGGCTTCAAACTCATCATTGATAAGGTATGGTAAATAGTTTGCTATAGCGTGGTCATTCCAGTCATCAAAATCGAATATAGCTTTCTTAATGTCGTCTTCATTATTAGATCCCCACCAATTTTCTCTTACATCCAAGAAGTTGTTGATTTTTGCTGTTTTAATGCCAGCTACAAGTTGATAGTCTAATAGATTTTGAGACAATAGGTTTCTCCTAAGCAAAACTTTCTGTATCCCTTTAAAACCTATGGCATACGTGGGGTCTTTATTGACTTGTAAAACGCCCAAGCCACTTCGACCCCTCACAACGAATTTGTTGTTACGTAGCTCATTCTCGAAAAATACTGCTGGGACATCCCCAATGATCTCCGATTGACTGCTAGTACTAAATTGCACAACGTATAAACCATTATTCTCAATAAATTGATTTCTTCTAAGCAACATTTTCTTCTCCATTCCTTTTATAGTGAAGAGTCCAGTTTTACAGTTGTTATTTTTGTAGACTTCTCTTGTAACATTCACAGAACAAAAATGACCATCCACTACCCACTCAAACTGTCTATTATTTGCCCATGTGTTGTTATCCATGTAGACGGTATGTGTGAAATTTTCGTTGTACTGCCAAACATATGGTAGGCTTATATCGAACCCTCCAGCGGCATTTCTTTCAATCGTATTATCCTTGAGAACATAGTGGAATAAGTTGTTTGAACTCCTCATGTCACGCGAGAATTGGAATATGCCTTTTCCATTGTCCGTGATCAAAGACGAATTGATCATAATGGTTACTTCAGATAGATTGCTTTTATGTAAGTCCCAGAAAGGCGAATGCGTGAATATAGCCTCATTAATGGTATGTGATATCTCACAGTCGATAATTTTGATTGTTTCATTGGCTTTACGAAGGAAATGGTTTCCGAGTTCGTCGAGATATCTGTTGTAGTAGGAAGAGTAAACTCCAAATTTGTTATTACGTATTTTTGTACGTCTTATGGTTAGTGTTGGTACAGGACCTTTTACAATTCTCTTGTAGACGGTTTGTTCAGGCGCTCTAGTTATACTTAACATTATAACAGTGCCACCAATAGCATTATAACCGCTAGTGTAGTCCATAATCAATCCAGGTGCGGTGGATGTTGTAGGAAATACAGTTAAGTCCCTCTTTAAGTCCCATATGTCAGAGTAGTTGTTGTAGGTTAAGCTATCATGTATTTTAATACTCTCGGTGCTTCTATTTTCTACGGGGTTTAATAATTGTAACCCCACAACCCAACCTGGATCACACTTAATGTTGTACGACCTGAATATGTTCTCCTTTTCAACTTTGGAGGTGACGAAGTATTTACTTTCGCCTCTCTGTAGGTATATCGTGGTTAAACCTTCTGTATCAGGGATTTTAAGCGGAGAATAGTTACTATCATCTTCTGTTTTTATGAACCATCCAGCGAGCTCGCGTTGTTGAAGTCCAGTCAACATAGGGTCGTGTTTTACACCGATTTGATTGCGTTCTATCACACTGCCAAAAATATTGTAACCAAACTGTTTGAACGCCACACCTGCCCCTTTATTGTCTGAAAATTCGGAGTTCTTGATTGTGTTTACAGTGTCGTCTGTATATATGTCGGAGTATACAACACCCAAACCATGGTAGTAATTATTGGAGACTTTGATATTCTCGAAGTTATGCCTGGAGAAGTCTAGTTGTAACGCTGGTTTAAAAGTGTTGGTGGCGTAATCCAGCAAACCTGCCTTTTCAATGGTCATGAATTGTATGTTACTTCGTTCAGATAGAGCGCTGAATCTCACTCCGGCCCACGAAGTTTTATAGCACCTAACACCAACATCGTTTTCGTGTGTGCACGAATTTTCGAAGTTATCCAATCTTTCAGCCTTACATTTTGTGATGTCCAAATCGAAATCGTCGCATTGCACATTCGACAAAATTACTTTTTCGCTTGTTCCTGCTTCAGGTATTTCACTTCGTTCTATGAACCAATCAAAAGGGTTTAAAACGTAACCCAATTGTTGACATACTAGTGCAGCATTTTCTATGGTCCAGCCATAATTGCAAACTGTACCCCACTGATTGTTAACTTTTATTTGAAGGCGACCTTCGGTCTCAGTATTCCCACCTAGAAGCCTTATAGGTATTTTGGGTTCTACTTCTGTTATAACCTCTGTGTTCTCTTCTTGAAGCATTTCAAACTCGTAGGTTTCATTTTCTGGGGTGAAAGCTATCTCTTCTTTCAACGTAAATTTAATGCCATCTGGAGCTCCTCCGTTAGCTTCCAATCTACCTCCAATCATTATACCAATACTTGGAGGGAATCTTAGCACAACACCTGGTTCTATGGTTAACTTACCACTTGGCCTGATATTTATATCTTTCTCTACGATATATTCACCACGTGGTATGGTTTCTTCACCCTCTATCTCACCTCCGATTTTATCAGAACCATCCTTGTAAAACCTGGGAACATAGTAACTATTTTTGTAGACTTTTGTGGCCAAAGGGTTGGAGTTGTGCAGCAAAAAGGGTGTATACTTGATTTTGGCCAGGTTATATCTAAAATTTCTGTGGAATATTCGTTCAATAATATAACTTTCATCATAGTGGCCCCACCAGTTGTATGTGCAGTTGATTGTCTTACTTTGGTCTTCAAGATGACTGCCAATTTCGTATTTAGAGTCTGGATTCTCTAATATATTTCTAAATACGTCAATGTTGTTTGAACCGACTACTACAGGAGCGGCCACTCGACTTCTAGGGTTTAAATTTGAAATTGAACCATCTTCAGTTTGGAAGGGTTCGGTGATTTTGTTGTTCTTCACGAAATTTCTGGTGAATAAGAGTTTTTGATGGTGCGCGTATGGAGATAAGGCTAGATTCACCACAAAGGTCCCTGTATTGTTTATGAAATAGTTTTGTTGCACCGTTATATCACTTTGAAGGACGTTAAACTGCTCCAAGGGTTTGTTTTTGATTAGTAAACCCCCAAACGTGCCCATTTTAAAGTGGTTAAACTCTATTCTGCCATTCAGATTGACAGCAGGATATATTTTAAGAGCAATCCTCTCATTCATCCTAAAGATATTATGACCAACTTGCAATCTCGTGGATACATTATTCGGTACCCAACACGATAGTATTTCGATGGCGTCACCAAAACTTTTCACGAACGAGTTGCCGGTAATATTGAAGAAGGCATCGCCACAGTAATTCCCATGTAGCACTCCAACGTCCAAGTTCTTCTCGAAATAATTATACTGAATGGCGGACGTTTGATTAATAAACAAATACTCAGTTTCCAGAGTGTTGTTCAACCATATTGCTGCCCCGTAACCTTCATTGGATGTTATTTTGGATCGCGATATGTTCCTCGAACCTCCTGTGTATGTGATGTTTATACCATCGCCTTTGTTGAACGATATAACTGATTCCGTTATGTTCACATCACCTACACCGCTCGTTATGTGCACACCAGCGACGTGTTCGTTTCTTTGCACTGTGCTCTTGTAAACATGCACTTGAGATCGAAGGTTATCCACTGATATGCCTCTACCGAAGTTCTCGGACACGTTCGAGTTCGATACGTTGACATCATAGGACTTCTGAAGCCCTGATAGAATTCTTAGGAAAACTGCGGAATCCGTTCTGGCATCACTGCGGAACCTAACGAAGATTTGATTGCCTGTTGTGGATACCGACTGTGGTCTAGTATTGTTTCTAATGTAGATTTTGGTAAGCAGTCTGTGGTTCAATGTGGAGCCGTCGTATACTTCTATAGAACCACTATCGTTCCTATCTGTAACGGCTCGAACCAAACTCAAAGTTATAATGTGCCCATATCTAGTTGTAAACACCTTCTGGCAGTTTCTATCTTTGTTATAGAACACTGTTTGCTCGGCGTAGAGCTGTATAGGGAACGTTTGACTTGATGCTGTTGCTATCTGGCAAAAATCTTTGTAACCCAACTTATCAGCTCTTTCCTCAGGTCTTTCTTCCCCTCTGACAAATCTAACGCCGTCCCCACCATTATTGTTTATCGTACAACCATCTATGTGGGCCAAACCAAAGCTGGAGTTGATGAAGATACCGTAACCTCTGTTGTTCTGTATGACGCAGTCGTTTATTTTGATCGGGGCCTCAGGTTTTGTTATATTTACGCCGTTATAAGCTGAGTTGGTGATTCTTACATTATTCACCATGGGAGGTACACCTAGTATATCCAAGGCGCTGGTTGTGTTTTGATCCCTCCCTACACCAGCATAGTTAATGTTAACGTACTCCAGTTTGGAGTCGGACTCAGATAAATAAAGAGTGTTATACAGCGATAGCTTCTTCTGATTGTTAGCATACTCAAATTTTATTCCTCTCCAGAATGGCAATATTAGGTCGTGTCTAGGCTGGCATTCTATGGCTATATCAGGGTGGTAATCGCACACACCTGACCCCATTTGTCTTGACTCCCATCTGCACTCTTGTAGAGACGTTTCAGTACCAATACATTTGGGTTCTTCATAGAGAAACCTTGGTTTTACCGGCATCTGTCGATTGAACCAGTGGAAAAATTTCCCGCCTTGGAAACCTAGTTGTCTGCATGCTGTTTCTAGGTCTGCTATGGTCCAACTGAAACGAATAAAAATGTTTTAGTTTGAATACGAATGATGGGGTGGTGATAATGTTACTTCTTTGAGTTGGTGCAAACACTTCTCCATTGGTCTTTATGCCTTATCTGCAACCTTCCAGCTAGTATACTAGGACCATCAACCAATCTTAGTTCAGGTAGTTTTATGGTTCTCGCGGAACCTTCCTCAGATGTTGTCAACGTGATTCTTTCATTTTCTGTCCCCTGTAACAATTAATTGACTGTGCAATTAAAGAATTACTTCTTCCGGTTAAACGTTTGTCTCTTCAGCGTAGGTGCTGTTATTAAACCAAATTATAGACAATTACAAAAATTCTTAATATATTGACTACCGTCCAGGTTTTTAGCATTTAACATTTGACCTTACTACAGCTGATCTATTTTTAAATTAGTTTAAATGACTTTTTTAATTCGTAATATGACTAAATCTTATTTAGGTGTGTACTATGAATGTATGAGATAGTTATTTTTTATAAGGAGTGTTAATTATTTTCTTTGTTAGAAGAAGACATTTATAAGATAAATTGTATCTCTCGTTTTACGTCATAGTTTTATTGAATCTAGGAAATACCTTATATGAAATTCTATTAATAGAAGTTAATATATTACCACTATGACTTTCAACAGTCTTTTTTAGAATATGCAATAGTATTTTTTTAAATTTACTATACAGGGTGGGTCATTTAACTTGAAACTTTAAAATATATTAGTTACACTGTTCAAAATTTCATGACCATTTTAACACCAAATTAACACCATACATGGTCTATATCGATACAAACCAAAATAGTGTTAAATATGGTTCGTTGGTCCGGTGTAAATTCAAATACTAAAATGGTGTTAATTTAACTTTGACACATTATTAAAATAAATTTTACCTGGTCTAAATTGAACTCCTTTTCAGTGATAAATATTATGTGTTTGTGGTCAAATTAAATCATACTACACAGAAAAAAGTAAAAAAAAGGAAACAGGAAGTTCCTTGACGCATTACTATAGTATATTACCAGTGGTATTATTCAAGAAAATGGAACCTTCAACTCGCTAGAGATAATGTTTTTAGTGCGTTCCACTAACTTAAAATACTTGAAGTATTGACAGCTGTTTCCACCTATTTAAGGTCTCTTTAGTATCGAACAACTTGTAGTGTCACACCAAAGCAAATGACTATAGTCATTTGCAGGTAGTCAATGACTACTATAGTAGTCATTGACTACCTGAGTTTATATATTCTTCATGTAAGTCAACAGAGGCGAGATTTAAGAACATCACGTGATCCACACCGCCTTTGCCACGATCGGTACACATTTTCAACCATAATTCATGGTGTTATATTAACACCACTTGGTGTTGGATTTTGACACCATTTTAAGATTACTTTTTACACCACAGATATTTTAAACAGTGTAGTATACATTTTACGAAAAAAAGTTTAAAATAAAAATTAAATGATTCGAGGGGGGAAATCAATCAGTACTAAAATTGGTCCTCAAACTCTCCTCCTTATAGGGGGAACAGGGGGTAACTTTAAAATTTCCAATGGAACACCCTATTTTTTAATGCAGATTCGCAGAGCCGGCTTAAGGCAATTGAGCGCCTTAGGCACTTAAAAATTTGCCTCCTCTAACTAGATACTATATATATATAAAATTTTAAAAAAGCTTATTAGAGCCACCCCAAACTGTTAGCTTAAGGGCGCCCGAGCATTATAACCTAATTATTCCCTATGAATTAGAATACTTTTTATCATTAAAAAATACATAAAAAACATAAATAACATACAAACATAACAAATATATTGTAAATAAAAAGTGTTAGGACTTATAAATGCGTTTTTCTGCAAGATGTCATTAGTAAGTATTTAAAAAAAATTAAATCAACTTTAATTTTCTGTATTTGTATGTTGGATGTACTGCTGGTTTATTGTTATTAGTTTAATATTAAAATTTCAGAAATACCTTAATACAAACAGAAAAATTAACACTATCTAAATGTGGATTTAGCCAGCATTTTGTGTAACGTAATCTAACGTAACGTACTTTAATTTAAAAGCCAGGCTAAATCAACCTTAACTATCGAACACAGACTGCTATCACCAAACACACAACACATAGAAGTGCCACTCTTGAATAAACGCGAAAACACCCAAGTCCGGCAGCAGTTTCCTCTGGTATCGCGTACCCGCTGGGCTGAGCAGCACATCACAGCGGGTACCCGATGCAAGAGGAATCCGTGTGCTTGGAGCATACGGGGGTTTTGAAATAGTTTAAAGAGTGCTAAAGATATGTTTATACAGGGTAAAGTTTACAAATTAAATTATCTTTTAAGTTTTTGTTTGCAGTTTAACGTTAAGATTTATTATTATTTGTTAATTATACAGTTAATAATAAAATATCTTATTCTACTTCAAAAAGTAGTGCCCTCGTAATCAAGCATGGTGATATAACACCTGATTAATTTTATCTAAAATACATTTATGTACTTATTTGGCATAAAAACAGAAGTGAATTTGCGGCACGCTTTTTTGTCGGCTTTACACCTCGTTATTACAAAGGAAGCTAAATTTGTATAAAATAATAAAAACAGTAAATAATATTCTGTTATTACAATTGTATATTGTTTATTTGTTTTATTTTTGGAAAAAATAAACAATTTGGTAACAATTTTTTTTTTTTTTAAGTTGTTTGGGGACAAGGCGCCTATTTCTACGTGGCGCCTTAGGCAATTGCCTTGCCTGCCTAATGGGTAATATGGCCCTGCAGATTCGGATCATTCGACTAAAAATAGGTAGATTTTGTCTAAAATATTTTTTCATATTTGTAATAGATGGCGCTGTAATAAAAAAATCAATTAAATCTGATTTTTTTTTAAGTAACCACAATTTTTTAACTAATATTTAAGTTTCCTTTGGTTTAAGTTTTATACATTATTTCATTCGGTGATAATTATCAATTGCGCACCATGGTCACTTTTTACCTGCCAGCATTAAATCATTTAATTTAAAGGATTATTGTACTATTTTTAATAAAAATACCCCATTTCAGATAAAAAAACATTAATTTGTCAATTAATTAATTTAATCCTAATTAAGGTATAAAAAATGATATTTAGTTATAAATAATAATTATTATTGAGGTATAAAGAAACTGTTTATACATAGTTTAGCATTATTTAATCAATTTAGTTCGAAGATTAATTTGCAAACAAAAAGACCTCTGGTTAAGCAGTTATTCATAATGGATTTTTTAACAGTGGAAGAAAAAATAGAAATAATTTTAATTTATGGAGAAGCAGGCAGCAATCTTGATGATGCTGTTAATATCTACGCTCAGCGTTTTCCGTATAAAATTCGATCACGTACTTCATTTCACCGTACAGTCAAGCAGTTTACTACAAACGGGAGTGTTCAACCGAAAAAAAAGAGTTCGTCGAGCAACAGTCACAAGTGGAAATAATGAAATTAATGTATTAGCAGCAACGGCCGCTAATCCTCATGCAAGCACACGAGAATTATCTAGAGATTTGGGAATATCCCAGAGCAGTGTTAGCAGAATATTAAAAAGATGCGAATTAATAAATGCATTGAAGTCGAAGGCCACCATTTTGAACACCTACTTTAATTAAAATTTAAGAAAAAATAAATAAATTTAAAAATAAAACCAAGTATTATTTTTAGTCGAATGATCCGAATCTGTAATAAAAAATAGGGTGTTCCATTGGAAATTTTAAAGTTACCCCCTGTTCCCCCTATAAGGAGAGTATGAGGACCAATTTTATTACTGATTGATTTCCCCCCTCGAATCATTTAATTTTTATTTTAAACATTTTTTCTTAAAATGCATACTAACTGAGATATTTCAAAGTTTCATTACTCACCCCCAAGCAGCATTTTAAGTAAAAGCGTAGAGCTTTGAGGCAATATTACTTAATTTAAGTAAATATTTTGTTAAATTAACCTTCAAAATTTACTTTTAAGTAAAACTTTTTTTAAAGTTATAATATAAGTTTTATTTATGTTATTTTTACCTATTTGAATAACCCTTAAGTTTCAACACTTTAAAGTATTATGAGGGACGTAATTTTTACGAAAGAAAATTACTTATAAGTGTATAATTTAACGGTAATTTTAACGTCAGAATTTTTACTTAATGGTAAATGTTACTCATAAGTCATAATTTTACGATATTAAGACCACTTTATAACCGTAAATAATTCCTATTCGCCTGGTATTTTTTAGGGTTATTAGTGGGTAATAAATACTAATAATATTGACTAAACAAGGAAGAATAAGCTTAAAGTGAAAAATAAAACTTTGCGGGAATTTTTTTTTAGACCGTTATAATGAGTTTTTTAAGATGGCATCCATTACTTATCTAAACATTTATATAATATTTTTTCATGAATATCTTTCTAAAATATAATAAGAAAAGTTTTAGTTATTAAAAAATGATTAAAACTAAATGATTTTTAAAAGATTTTATAAAATTTTGTAGGTTTTAAGTTTTGTTGAATTTTTACCCAAGCAATAATTTTTCTTAAAACCGTAAAATATTTAGAGGGCATATAATTTTTAAGACGTATCATACCTATTTTTATCAATAAAATAATGTGCGTTTGAGTTTTAATGCAAAATATCAATGGTTTTGACAATTTAAGTTATATTTTTTAATTTTACTCTAGGGTGGCCTTTATTACTTTGTAATTACTTAAGTACCTACCATTTTGTAAAATATAAATTAAAAGAACAAAGAAATTACGAATATCAATGTTTAAGAAAGAGAGCGCAAACAGTTAGTAATTATAGCGTTATTTTTACGTAAATTTGTGGTATTTATATTGTTTTTATTACGTAATTCTCTTAGTAGATCAAAAAGGTTATTATGTGGGTAAAATAACGAAATAAACCATTCCCCAAATTTGGTAATTTTTCGTATCTATACCGTTATAAAACCGTTTTGGTTAACCGTAAAAAATACTTTAAAGTTGACTTGTGTAGTTATTTAAACTTAAAATGCTGCTTGCGCCCTGTATAGTTGAGCTATAACCTGGTTCCATTATCAACCATTATATACTTAACAAAAGCTTTTTATAAATTTAATTTGACTACCTGTAATTTCATTTATTTATGGCATTACAGGAAGGAGCAACAAAACGTGATTTGCTTATGGAATAGAATAAAAAACGTTACAATATGCTTAGATGAG